GTAATTGCCCAAGATCACAAAGTTAGTGGGGTTTGTTCACACAGCAGAGCCTGGATTTGAATTCTGAGCAAAATAATTAGAGACCTCATCTTCCTTACCCCCAAGCTATGCTGCTTTTCAGATTAAATACACCTTGTGTGGGGCTTTTTATTTTATTACTTATGCCTCCAAGATCTTGACATTGTGGGGGACTTGAAAGCGGTGAGTTAAATAGCCCTCCTCATCTCTCTTGAACAAAGAGGCTGTGTTATGGGACAAGAGTGGGTCCGAGACCAAGTGCTGTGAGGTCAGGACATGCGACCCAGGACAGGGTGGAGGTCGGGCCAGGTTCAGAGCCGGAGGCCGGGCATTTGGTGCTGGATTTGACCCTGGACGTAGAGGTGAGACGAGAGTGGCTGGCTGTCTGCCTTTCCCCAGGCCACCCGTGACCTTGCCCAGTTCGATGCAGCCCATCATGAAGAGTTCAAACGCTACGAGATGCTCAAGGAACATGAGAGACGCCGTTACCTGGAGTCACTGGGAGAGGAGCAGCGAAAGGAGGCAGAGAGGAAGCTGGAAGAGCAACAGCGACGGCACCGAGAGCACCCCAAAGTCAATGTGCCTGTAAGGACCATCATTCGTACCCACCTTCCCTGTCATTCCGCCTGCCACCCCGCTATGTCTAATTCCCTAAGTTCCACAAAGCAAGAGAAGGAACAAAGGGGTCAAGGGTGACTGCAAGGTATTTGGCCTGAGAAACTGGAAAAACTGAATGGAAAGAGCAAGCATATTTGGCAGGGCAGATCGGGGACGGGGTTTCCGTTACATTAGAGACGGCTGGTAGACATGTGCGTGGAGATGAAGAGTAGACAGTTGCCTATTCAGGTGTGGAGGCAGCTTATGGATGGCATGGAAGGCTGGGGGACTGGAGGAAACATCTAAGAAAGTGCCGGCCAAGAGCACTCGCTTTGTGCCCTGGCCGTTGTGGCTCAGTTGGTTAGGGGTCATCCTGCGCATCAAAAGGTTGCCAGTTCCATTCCCAGTCAGAGCACACGCCTGTGTTGTGGGCTCAGTCCCCAGTAGGGGGCATCCAGGAGGCAGCTGATCAATGTCTCGCTCTCACATTGATGTTTCTCTCTCCCTTCCTCTCTCTAAAAATCAATAATTTTAAAAAAAAAGAAGAAGAACATACCCTCAGATGAAGATTTAAA